TGAGGATAATAAACAAGAAGGTTTCTGAAAATTAATAATTTTTCTGCTTGAGCAGCTGGAGGAGGAATTCGTTTATTACTAAGTAGTCTTGGTTGAGCTGGAAAAGAAAACTCCTGGCTCAATGATGAAACTCCCCTGCTGAACTAGAAGAAGAGGATGAGGATGAGGAGGATAATTAATAATGGTTTGATTGTTTATTCTGCCAGTCTTCTTTTCTTTTTTGGTTCATCATAAGTTGGTGTTAATGTTCATTTATTAGTTATAATTTCCTTTCTTCTGGATAAATCTCATATGTAATTTTTCTTGATCTAGATATGCCTGGAGTGTTTGAGTATTAGTATTGTTGATTTTAAAACCTAGGGAGCAATTTTTTCTCCTTGAGCTTTCTTTAAAATACTTCTATGGTGCTGTAATTCTTGGGTTCCATAGTGGATTTGATGTAAATTAGTTTCATATTAATATTTTTATATATAGAGATAATCCTATATTAATCCTGTTATGGTTTATTGTTATAATCATCCCATTGGTATGATAAAGGGAGCATTAAAATTAACAAGGCAAAACATCGTGAGTCACACTGGTTAATTTTACAGCCACACCATAAACAGTCCCACATTTATAGAATGTTCACTTTGTCTGGTTTTGTTGCAGTCTGCCCCATATTACTGTCTACTTTATATATAAGTCTAAGTCACGACATTTAAGGGCATCCATGCACTATAGGGAAAGTCGTCCAATCAAATTTACGAATAACAAATATGAATAATATTAATAAAAGAAAAATTAGTGTCTCTAATAACGTCTAATGTTCCATTTACTTTTGAAGTGACTCACCATATGTTTTTTTTGGCAAACCCAATTGTTTTGACTATCAACAAATTCAAATATTCAATCGTTTTGTTCTTTGCTCAATCATCCAATTGTTGTTTTGAATCATTGCATCGATTCAAATCAATGATTCTATTCTTTGTGGTTACCTAACTTACAATCCTTTTTATCAAAGCTCCAACGTTACGCAATTTTCTAAATAGCCATCGCTTCAACAAATCCGCAGATGACAACTGTAGACAGCTAAGGCAATCGGCGGAATAATGAATCGTACGACAATCAAACAATTTAACAAAAGATCGTAATAGTAAGGCAAATTGGTCGATGTGTTTTTAAAGAAACGTAATTACATCAATATTGCAATTCTTTATAATTTACTATAAATCAATGCCCGGGCAAAAGTATTTCACATCCCAAATTTATAAATTGCACAAAATCGTAATCCAAAATTTAATCTGTTAATATTAATACACGTAATCTTGCTTTGGCCAGACACGTGTGTTTTTGTAAGTAAACATAAGAACATTAAATATATAAATCATTTAACGCCTGCTAGCTTAACTGAATGATGATCAACCACAGTTCATAGAACAACCGTCTCTCGTACCATCATAAAGTACATTAACAAAAACAGGAAATTTTTGCCGAGCAAATGAAAAAGAATTTATTATTATTGAAAAAACCAGTATCGAAGTTTGTACTAAGAAATTTGCTCACAATGAAAATTTTTTCTTACGTGTTAACCTCCTTAGTTATCAGCAAAGAGAATATGGTGCATTAAGAAAGAAACTGGACTGTGAAAAGCAAAACTACAATATTTGACGGAAGGACTCTGGCACTAGATTTAGTATTGTAAACGTGAGTTTTCAGGTAAAAGATTGGTAAAGGTGAGGTAAAATAAGTAGATTAGATTACATACAGACACTGGAAAAAACATCTAGTGTCTTTGATAATAAATAAGGAATTCAATGGTAAGGGCCATCTGTTTCAGCAGGATAGTATGCTTTGATTGTTTGTACGTTTATAATTAATATTCTCCGGAATATTACCAACAATCCCTTTTAGCCATAGGTACTCTTACAATCATTAATTATAATTGATTCATTATACATATTAAACAAACACGCGTTTGTCCAGAATAGATAGGTAATAGTAAAAATTTTGAAGCAACAGTGACTTAAATAGGTCGAAGTAACCAAAAAATTTTATCATGCTTTTGCTCCTTCGTCATGTTTTCCTCGGCTGCCTCCTTCATCAAATAAATATAGAAATAAACTCGGACTTTGGTTTTGTATAGTAAACCAAAATAAGTTTCAACCGAAATTGAAAATCTTCAAGAATATTTAATTCCCGAAAATCTCCAAAAATATCTCCTTATATCTTATAATGATCCAAAAACCGGCCCCCAACATAACGAAATATATACCTATCAATGATGTTTTCTTCACTAGACCAACTAAGAGAGTAACGTGTTATGGTCGTCGCATTTATTTCAAATCCATAGACGACTCAATTACATATTACAAGAGATAATATTACTACGAAAAGTACTATACAACAATTTCGCTGTGTTGTCAGTAGTCCCCTGTTACCTCAAACCGCCGAACTGCATTCCAAAAGACCAAGCTACACTTGCTGCTAACCTTCTCCGTTCATCATCAGGAAGAGACTGTCCTCGTTCTACAAACACGACACGTTATAGATATTAATAGACAGTTGGGTACATGTATTCCATCATATTGTTAAAACGAAAAAATACCTCTCAAACTGTGCAACCGCGTAAGAACCCTATCTAAGCCATCATCATCATCAAGATCTCCAAAGAGTTGCTCACGTATTAAGTCAAGTTCAGCTTCGGTTGGAAGAACTGAAAGAATGCATATAAACCACTGAAAACTACAAACATACGAAAGGAGAGAAAGCTTAAACAAACTTACTATCTCCAAATAATTCAACGTTTTCATCAGCATTCTGATTAAGGGATAATGGATTCATATCTTGGATAAAACGTCTTGGATCTGTGGCAATAAGGTTTCTTTTAAACAACATCATGTAACCATAACGCTTAAGTCTATCAACATTGCTATAAACTGACCTGTCTCGGCGTTAGAATCCAAATAAGCCTCGTTGTCTCTTATTTCATTCTGCTGTATCCTTTGAAATCCATCCCAAACGTGTGACTGTAAAGCTTCAAGTATCCGCATCAATCCTGCGGACTCTATTGCAATCACATGCATGATATTAAGCTCAGAGACTTATTTCGTGATGGACGACGGTTTTGTGGACAAGTAACATATGCCTACCATCAGAAACTGATGGACTTACTTCCAAATCAATGTACTCAAATCCATTACTCAAACACCAGGAATTATACACATTATCTTCAGGATCCAGCACAGAAGTGCCAGAACCAACAGCAAGCAGTATCGAAGGCTCATATTTCTGGAAAAACGGCAGAAACATCTTTATATCATCAAAACTTGTAGGCTGTACGTATTTAAAACACAAATCAGTACTTGCGTGTAAACGACTGGTCATTCGAAGGACTTTAGTTTCGAAGGTGTGCACCATCCATATAAGAACAACCTTATCTTTTTGAAAGACAAAGATTATTGCATCCACTACACGCCCAATACCGTTCTCTTCGTCCATATACTCATCGAGGATTTGTTGATTAACATCATCAGTTTCCTCAATCCAAAAAAGAACGTCCGCGACGTAATATCTTGTTGTAATATTCCATGGAACTTTTAGACCAGAATGATTATTTGGTTCATGAGCTCGAAACTCTTGCGAAGTTAATTCCAGAATTTCTAAAATCAATTGATCAAACAATGAATGGAAACGAAAACGAAAAGGTTTCTGGGCATTGAATAAGCAATTACTTTTTACAAGAGAAAGCTTTCCCACACCACGGCGACCAAGAACGAGGATTTTGTTGCGTAAATGCCCAGACATCTTGGCTTTAACAGAATTCTTCCATGTTTATAAACAAAAAAGCTCTTTACTATTACGGACAATTTTTGGATACATCTTCATAGCATGTGACATCACATTTCAGGGGTTGACATCAACATTAAATACACTCGCAGGGGTCATACCCTAAATCAAAATTTTTTGCGACCCCATAATAATTATATTGTCCCTTTCCCAAGTGGTATTAATCACAAACCAAACCTTTCCATAAAACAATGAGACTTATAAGAAGGTTGGCATAATATAAGAGAGCGTCAGTAGATACCATTAGAGAAGAACGCAAGTTACAATAGAACATATGAAGATGTGATCAAAGGGCAAGCCGGTCCGAGAATACACCATGCATATATATGCTATATAAAACGAAACCTTATTGTGTGTCTAGTGAAATTTGTCTTTCTTGCGATTTAAACCGATGCTGTCGAGACAACCAAAGATAAAGAGAGAAAACACAAGACCGAAGTAAGAAAAATTGGGGGACTAATCAAATTACCCAGACCAATAATATTGGGGTACATTAATTTCATAATAAATCTATTTAATGTGCAACACAAATAATCTTCTTTTTGTTGTAAGCCATATCGATCTCTCCAGATAAACATGACGTTCGCTTGGAAAGCAGCTGGTATAAGGTTGGTTCATAAATGATTGTTAGAACAATGTCCCACCAGTATCGTGGTAGTTTGAAAAAAACAACGGACAAGTTCTGTACATATTACGTCCCAAATTAATACATAGTTGCGTTTTCACATTTAGTTATCTACGGTACGTTCAAATATGTGCTCGAACTGTCCGCAATGCATTAAAGGAAGAACAACGTCTTATAGCACAAAAGCGAGACGAGCAAGGATTGAAATACGCCAAGTGGGAGGGAGGAAAACAGGGTGAACTGGTTAGCTGACCACTCACTTGTAAACTTGAGCAGTCTAACCTTGATAACTCGAAAAAAAAACTAATATGCGCTTTTCTTCATTGCAGAAACCCGTTGAAAACAATTTATCAACCTAACTCAAATACAACAGTCTATTTGTCATCCTGTGTAGTATCTGTACATCAAGACAATTTGTAATCGGTATACGCAGCTACTAGTAAATTTAAACTGGTTGAAGAACCATAAATAATGTCTAAATAAAAAGTCTTTCTAGACTCTCAAATCATGCCGACTGGGTACGAACTAGAATTATGTTTCGTCATTCTTAGCCTTGCGCGTAACTTCGAGTCCAGTCTCGAGCTGAGTAAAGAATAATGTTGATAGGGAATTAAAGTAAGATGAATTCTAGTGTAAGACAATAAATGCGATTGGATCACATAAAACTATTTTTAAGTGTTTTCCTTACCAGTAGCAATGGCAGCTTGTTCGTTTTCTTTCCAATGTTGAGCCACATCATTCGCCAGCGGATCATCAGGATTTGGGGCAGACAATAGAGCTTGTATAGAGAGAAGTACGGTACGAATCTGCAATGCGGGAGACCATTTATCTGTAGAACTCAACAATATAGCAATGAGCATGATTTTAAACAAGACAAGACCAATATGATATAGAGAGAATAATTTTATACCTTTAAGAATATCTAAGCAAATCCTACCAAGTTTATCGATGTTAGGATGGTATATCTTAGTCAAGAATCTGACCTTTGGAGGGGCCATTGGGTAATCTTCGGGAAGAAAGAGTTCGAGATTAAAAACACCACCTATGTTGCATAAAAGGAAACATAGATCTGGCTGGTTAGGATACAAAATACAAGGACGTTAAAGGATCACATCAAACTGTGGCATACCTTCAAAAGGGGATTGACTAGGTCCAGCGATAATAACATCAAAATAACGTAAATTATCTTCATGAGGTGTCGCACTAATGCCGGGTGCAGGTTCTTGAAGCAAGCGTTCCGTTTCCTTTCATGACCCAAAATCAGTAACAGCGTTTAGCTAATATTTAATAGTCTACCGATGCCTCTCACGACTCTGGCACAGAAATACGACACTTGCCGCTGAGTAACCCGCTCCAGTAAAAATTCCTAGACAACAGTTCGGTTACTACATATACCTTTATGATCCTCTTTGAAAGAGCCATGCTGTGAAATAGTTGTCTTTGGTCAAAGTTTGATAAACAATGCGGTAACGTTTCGTTTGTGGTTGGTCATGTGTATCGATTTTGATAGACCTGTAATATTACCGAATTTATCCATTGAGACCCATGGCTTTTTGTCCGCAGAACTTTGAAGTTGTTAGTTTCCGCTCGCTCATCATTCCTACTACTGTTATCAGTTTCTTTATCAGTATGCTCAACAGTTAAGAAAGTATTAGTAGAGGGATCTCGTGCTACTTCTCTTGCTGATTTGCGTTGATAAATAACATGTCTCATTAGAAGATACAGTCAAAGCTCGAAAACCGAAATCGATACTTTTTTCAATTCCCAAAACACGCATAATAAAATTTTACTCGTAAAACCGATGAATTCGATAATCCGATATTTTTTGGCAGTGCAAATTAACACGTCTATCGTAATTCGAGAAACCGATATTTCGGAAAAAAGCTATCGGTTTTTCGAGCTTTGACTGTATCTGTACGTGGGCGAAGTCCGCGCAAACGCAGTATGAGGGCGTCCTGGGGGAGGCTGAAAAGTTTGCACCTGAATCTTTATTACCAGAAATTTCGTAATTATTATTATTATTATCTATATATAATTTAAAAAAACTGGATGCTGCGGGGACGGACATTGCATATTCGTGTTACAAAATTATCCATCACATGTTCATCATTTCTTTGTTTACAACCGCGACGCCTAACACTTTTATTATTATGATTATGGATAATGTTAGTGAAATAAAAGTATAAATGTAAAATATAAAATAACCACACTGTCAACAAAGTGACAGGTTATACACTAGTTATTATTAAAATAAAAAGGATTAATTAAAGACTTAATCACGTGATTCTCGATAAGTTGGCCATTAGAGGTCAAACCCAGTTGGCCGACTTATCGAGTTTCACTGTGTATCAGTTCGTAATTAGTGTCACATAGTTACTTAATGTGGCCAGAATTGCTGAAACGTGATGTAGCGATAGCTTCCAAGCCGACCCCTGATAAACAATCCGAGCAACTAGTTGATGAATAACTCGCCTCTCCGGTGCAAAAACCTCTGATCTATACAGACTGTCCGCAGTGGTTTCCATCCTCCTATTTGCTTGCATAATTCGACTGCCTCTTTCTTTATCACTTCAAGCGACGGTGGCTCAACATTGTATGGTGCGATAGACTCCTCTGCAAGTGTGATAGTTGTTGACTCTGAACTCGTAGAGGTATAAGTACGAACAAAGGCGCCTCGCGTTTGACAAAGTTCGAGGCGCGAAGCTTGTGGGAGAGACTAGTGGTAAAGAGAGCATGACTATGATTATGGAAGGTTGTCAGAACATTCAATGCTAGAACTTATATCAACACGTGCAAATCACACCTGCTCTATGACACAAAAGCATTTGCGGTTGGTATTAATAAAAAGTATAATATTAAATGGCTCTGCATACCTCCCATCGTATATTTCGATCAATACTTCCATACACAAAAGTATCGTTTTCTTGGTTCAAAAAATCTGCTACATGTTGTTTGTTGCGTTTCATGTCTGCATATTCGACTCCAGCCCATCCTAGTCCAAACCAGACGCGATCACATAACATGTCAAAGAATTTGCTACGCAGCAATTCGGTTAGTGTCCATGATAGAATAAAGTGATCATTTTCGACTTTTTTCAAAAGTAGGTTCCGACTACTCTAATAACAGCAGTGCCAGAGGTTTGCGATGGATATTTTTAAAAGCTGAGCCTATCCCGCGATAACTCTCTACCTAACAGGAATGTTGGCTAAAGGGCTAGGCAAACGCACGAACATCTATTATAATAATAAAGTTGCTCAAAGGTCTTTTTATAAACAGAGTATAGTATTGACGTTTCATCAGTTTTTGCAACATGGAATTGAGGAAAGCGATGTTAATATAAAACATATTTTTCGTGTTACACCTGATTACGCGTAAGGATCATCACACGCGTCGCGTCATTACTAATACTATAGTAACGGTTATATTTCCCAATAAAATACAGTCAATCATTCTTACCTCAAAAAATAGATATATTTCCCCATCTCCCCAATAGCCTCACTCTATCAGCTTTTGTTCTCTTCCTCTGCATGTATAGATAAAAAGGGGCGCTTTAGCGAGCACTTCGTTGTGAATAAAAGTTTCTCGTGATAGGTAACGGTTATATTCCGATCTAATACCGCAATTAATGCAAACTCTATGCAGTTTCTAAAGAAGTTTTTGAGCAAACTAAAGGCAAAAACATTACGTAAATTGCTTAGAAATGTATGGAAATAGGAATTTATAAAAATTATATTCATAAGGTTACAATGCATATGGAGTAATTTGCAACATTTTAAAATCAAATGCCGAGCGTTTGTACATTGAATTGCGTTGAAATTTTGCAAGTTATTAGGGTTTGTCATATAGCATGTTCAGAGAAATTTTCAATGTCATTCCTAATTTCTATGATGGATTAGTTATTTTCATTTTTTCTAATCACGACTATTTTTCCAATTGATTTAGGATATAGCCGACAAACGTACTTCTTTTCAGCTGTCTATTTGAACCTCGGGCTTGAAACTATAGACTTGGTTTTTAAATATACTGGGCAGTTGTTGAGATAAAAATCTACGACCAGAACTTTTCGGCCACCCACGTACACAGCGTAATTTCCTGAGTTTGCCGACCAATTAGTAAGACATATGAAAAATCCTTTTCTTTAAAGAGTTTTATTGCACGTATTTACTATGCAAGTCACAATAAATTTGCATTATTTTGAAGCTAATTAGTTGTACTTTTAAAAAATTTTGATCAGTTATCGTAGGAAAGAAATTGTTCGCGGTTATCTATACAATCTACACATAAAATTTTGTGTATAACATAAATACTGCCACTTTATCAAAGTACAGCGTCAGACGATGACAGGACTAAATATATCACCATTTTTTTCGAAAAACACAACCAATTATTTTTATAATAGTACAGAATTTGTTGTGACTTACATAGTATATACAATAGAGCTTTTGATGAAAAAAGATTCTTCATTAGTTGTTTTATTAATAAAGCCATGGACTAATTGATCGGCAAAATCGCGAATGCAAGAACCACGAAGCTTCAACCGAGTCACGGTTATAAATTAATTCAAAAGATCACATTTTAATTTCTGATACGTTACAAGTGCATTATGTACTGTATGTCAATATTATACATTGATATTCGATACATGTAAACGTGAATTGCAACATTTAAAATTACGTAAAAGTTAAGCTCCGACATTGTTTTCCTTTGAGTTACCAAATAATCTGTAAAAGTATTTGCGTAAGAAATATTTTTACTTAGGAATCCTCCGTACATGCATGCTCTTGGGACTGAAAATGTGAGACGCAATAATGCGGGAAGGAGAGTATAACAAATTTACGTGATTTTGATACTTATTGGTTAAAATATTGACCTGTGCTTTGTCACTTTTTTCTCCCTACATCTCTGGAGAGTTTTTATGTTGAATTAAAAAATGCGTATACAATTTCAATGTCGTACTGGTGCTCACGACTGCTATTTCAGGGCTGTCATTCACTTTCCAAATCAATTTTAATTCATTAATACAGTACCCAATGCTTGCAATATTATGTTTTGGCGACTTGTGCTCAAAAAAGTAAACCATAACTGCAACGATCCGAGTATTTCAAGTCTGAACACGGACAAATCGAATTTAACTTGCAACGACCTGATAAAATTAAATGTTATTCTTGGGTCAAATCAGGCGTTAAACGTTATATAGTGGTTTTCTCTGTATGAATACACCCAATTAAACTGCACGCACTCGGTATTTTGAAAACAAGTATGACACAATCACGTGAACGAAACCCATGACTAACCCTGTGACAAAGAAGAACGAAAAGTTTCCCATCGCAAGAGATGTCTGTTGGAAGCGTCTGCCCGCTAATAGACGACCTCTTATTTATTAAAGGGACTCCCACGGTGTTGGGCGAAGTACCACAAGCAGGAGAGAAAAGGATCTATGTGGTGGAATTCTGGGTATGTGTAAACTAATCTTTCCGTATGAGTAATAATGGGATAATAGAGACGAGTATTTTTGAAAGAGTCAAGATAAGAATTTTCATCTTATAAGTTGTTTTGTAGGCTTCATGGTGTTGGCCTTGCAGGGAATCGTGAGTTTCGTGATCGGTGCATTCTATAGATGAAAGACTCGAAGATATTCAAATCTTTTTATTGCGCTAGAATACCACATTTGTCTGAATTAGGTGAAAAATACAAAAATCGTGGAGTCACGGTTGTTGGAGTTACTAGAGAGAAGGATTATGACGTTAGTATCTTTCTCCTAGTCTTGCTTGATGAATTTGTATAATTATTCTCAGAGTTCGCGATTCACAGAAAGTAAAGCAATTTGTTGCTGAAATGGGCGATAAAATGAGTTATAACGTCGCTATCGACGTAAACTTGGCCGCTAGAGAAGGTACAATAAATTTACAATCGGATTCAAGTCTTATATTTGTCGTTCCATTTTGCTGATCGATATTGTACTTTGCAGCGTTGTACGTCCCGAGTAATGCACCGGGAATTCCAAAGGCATTTGTATTGGTAAATAATGTTGTCTTTTGGCATGGCCATCCAGTCGACGATGATATTGAAGCTGAAATAATTAAAGCCATCGAGACCAATTGATAAAACAGATCAAAGTGTATAAGGCACAGATGACTTACTGATTAATTAGTTTTAAATTGACATTAAGAGTATATTATTTAAATAATAAAGTATCCTAGCACTTGCTCCAATTTATGGAAGTTACACCATTTTCTCGGCTTTACAGGTTGTTGTTGTTGAGATACTTCATTTTCAACACATAACATATTTCGGTCATGCCATCCCGCTTAATTCGTCGTTCCACCTCCCCATTCGTCACTGCAACTACGTTCTCTTTTATCTACTTACGCTTTCGCAGCTCTTCTGTCCCAACCTAAACACTCCCATCCTGATTAATCATCCCTTGCAAACCTAACCCGTTACCCATTGCGTTTCCGCCATTTCCTATATTCTGAATGATACCATTGCCATTCAAATTAGTAACCGTTCCGCCAGCCATTGCGTTACTGGCCATCAGCCCATTGCCAAATCCATTGTTGCCGTATCTCATGACTCCATAAACATTGGAAGGATTTACAAAGCCGTTTCCAGAAATGCTATTATTTCCTCCGATATACCCATTAAATCCCATATTTTGCAACTGTTGCAACTGCTGGGCATTAAATGTGTCATTCATCCCCAACAGTGACGGAAAAGCCATGTTTTGCACTTGTGTGTTAGATGATGTGAATGATGGAACGTTGTTCATGCCGACAAGAGAAGGCAGGCCTTGGTATGAATTATCAGCGACAGTAGTCATTGTCGCATAATCGGGAATAACAGAATTAATTACAGACGGAGAGGTGAAGTTAGCAGACATAACCGTGGGAAGAAGGGATTGAATTCGTTGCGTTGATTGTGATGGTGACAGTTGCTGTTGTTGTGCAGGCAGATGTTGTGGAGAAAGATGTGATTGAGAAGAGAGTTGTTGCTGAGGAGGTGTATGTAAGTCTAGCTGCTGCTGTTGCTGTTGTGATTGTTGCGGTTGTGACTGAGGTGATGATTGTTGTAGTTGCTGTAGTGCTTGTTGTTGTTGTGACGGTTGTTGTGATGATTGTTGTTGTGACGGTTGTTGTTGCGGTTGTGGTTGTTGTTGCGGTTGTTGTTGTGGTTGCGGTGGTTGTTGTGATTGTTGTTGTTGTTGTTGCGGTTGTGATTGTTGTTGTTGTTGTTGTTGTTGCTGTTGTTGTTGCTGTTGTTGCTGCTGCTGTTGTTGTTGTTGTAATTGAGCATTATTTAATGACGGAGATACTTTGGTTGGTTGCTGACGCGGCTGCTGTGATTGCATCTGTGACTGAAGCTGTTGTTGCAGGCGTGGATTTCGTTGAGGTAATTGTACCTGAGCTGTTAAAAGAGAGTTGTGTTGTAATTGTGCCGTTTGTAACTGTCTCTAATACTTTTAATTAATATCATATACCATACCAGCTCCGTTGTGTTGACCATTTGCCGCCTTAAATTGTTGTAACGAAGTTGGGTCACTTGCCGTCTCAGGTGGATTGCTTGAGGGAACCGAAGGACCAGCCGTATTCTGGATCGCTTTAAATTGTGCATATATTTGAGCAGCTCTCTGCAGGAGTGCGTTCAATCTCATAGGGTTAGCTGATTTTGATTGTGGCAATAAACTAAAATCGGGTTCGGTTTTTGTTTTTGCACCCTTAGAAGTAATAGCATAAGGTTGCGATTGTCAGTAATGAACTGTCTGCAAAGAACAGTGCCAGCGTAAATATCTATGGATGTCTTACTCCCTGTGGATGGCTATACTGATCAGCCACAGTTGCCAAATATGAAAGGTTCGATTGAAGTCGCATCTTGTATCTTAAATGAACAAAATTTAGTTAACACTCTCACTCATACCTCGTCAGCACGATCACACTATTCAGCTAAATATAACACTTACAGCGTAAACTCATTTTCATTTACCCAATTATGTTCTTGATATTCTATTAATATACGAATTATCTCTTTGTTTACGTCGAGTAACTGAATGAACCAAAATGAAATTAGATACAAATGTTCTCGAAACTGCCAGCATCCCCAAATAATCTCACCGCTTGTACACATCTCTGCGTAAATTCTAAATAACCAAGGTAACGAAACAATTAGTTTATCCGATTGTATTCTCTCCATTTTCTGAATATGACAAACCAGCACAAAAATAACCAACCGTGTTCAATCGACCTATTAACATTTGCATTCGTTACTGCTGAAACTTGATTTCCGATTTTTGCATCTATATCTCCATTCAAATCAGCAACTATATTCCCGTTTGCAGCTCCAGTCATACTGGCACCTGCATTAGCGTTCATTGTTTCTATTAGTCCCTCTATTAAGCAAATAAAAAAAGCTCATATTCCATTATCCGACAACACTGCTATTCGCACCGTCTACACTCAAGCTCTGTGGGGTAACGTATGTTGCTGTTTGATCTGACTTGTATTGCACTTGTACGGGTGCAATAGTCTGCCCGACAGACGAGACCGTCTGATCTGCAGAAAGCCAGGGATATTGTGCATCATATTGAGACACTTGGCCCGAAGTTAGGTATAAGTTTGTGAAGGGAGGTTGGAGACTGTTTGGATTGTTCATTTAAGAGGTCGAGTGAGAAGAATAAGCCTGCATTTTCGAGTGTATCACAACTATATATGTCGATCTCATAAACAAAAGATGCGATTTTTTTTCTACCTTTTACTCAAATGTCGAATAATGCCACAGACTACTTAATATCTGGTATACGAGATGTCCAGTTCACCTGTAAACGCGCAATTCTGGGTATACTTATATATTGGGGGACATCGTAAAACTTATTGTTGTGTCTTGATTTGTTACTTGCATTGACCCTTCTTGTTCTATTAATAGTTTTTATTTGCGGGATTTTCATAATAATGGTCGAGCTTCTTGTGAAGTAAATATTGGCAATAGCAATAAGAGCATAACTATTGTAACACCTGATTGGGTGAACAAGCAATAATATATGTAAGTATTATCATTATCATATATCAAAACAAATAAAATGAGGAAGACAATGTATAATGACATGCTCCGTGCCGCTCAGAATAAAGTTGCTGGGTTAACCTTAACAAATTGGTAATGTCATACAAATGTCTGACTATAACTCCGGAAACCATTTTTGTTGACAATAAGATGGGCAACACCGGAATGGCACTTATATAACAATAAAATATAAAAGTTTACTGCGTAAAAACTTCTCGTCAAGACCCTCCGCTGACCGAGTGATTTATCGTTTTTATAGTCTTTGGCTTGTTGACACTACTTTTATTGTTTCGTTTATAGAATGTGCACTCTTGAAAACATGAATACTATGAGCACCAGAATGATATTATTGGAGAAATACTTGGTTTCCAAAGCCATTTATGATATAATCTATTTTATGGTCAGCGTTTAAGTTCTCTATTTTCTTTGCTAATATGATTTCAACACTGTTATCAACATTAAATTTTCAGTTTCACTGTTATTGCCTTTTTTCTTATATTCTTGCCATCGTTGAATCGTCACTCTTGTTTTCCCCCTACGGGTTTGTTATTCGAAGGTAGAAATTTCTTATCGTAAAAACAGCAAGGCCTTGCTTTCGCCAAACATATTGTATATTGCAAACTTCATTTGGTTAAATGAAAACGTTGAATCCAGTTAGTCTTTTTCGTATAAACGTTCCACAACTTTTAAATCCGGTGAGTCAATTTAGTTCGCTACAGTTTGTTATAGTTTTATTGAATAATGGCTCTCATATTATTACGCCAGTCCATTACAAATTATGCTACTTATAATAGGCAATTAATACTCCAAAGAGTGAATGTAAGCATTTCGTAGTGTTACTGATGAAAATTGCAGATTTGGTTTTATTTTACTTTAAATAATGTATTGTTTTGGCGATATCTATTGCATTTGTGATTGATATTTGAAGTGAGTACATCAGTGCTGGTTTATAATAAACCGCGGATAATTATGGTGCGCGAATTTTTGCGCATTGATGCCTAATATGGTATGTAGTTATGATACGCGATGCGTTGAGTCATAGACATCGCTCAGGTGTGGAAATGTAAGGCAGTTGACATATCTGACACTTGATGATAAAGTATCATCCTGTTAGGGGAGTCAAGTAAGATAACGCTTGCCTATCTTTTTGAAAACCGAGAAATACAGTTGCATATCCTGCTGGACGTTGAAATCTTCGGCATATTCTGGAAGGATCATATAAGTGGGTTGCATGCTGCACTTGCAATGTCATAACGTACGTTTTGGTAAATGAGCGCCAGATTCTTTATGGCACAATGAGGCAATGCGTCCGTTATAAAGTCCAAGTTTAACTTGGATACTTCTATTCACGAAAGACGGCGTAATGACTCATGCAAAGTAAAAGATAAAGAGACAATCCCAACCTGGACCGGATAGATTGTGCTTACTGCAAGATAAACTTATAAGACTAATACAATTCCTTTTTACCACCACCATTGTAACAATATCATGATACATCTTATCAGGTATAACCACGTATACTAATTAGTTATTATACCCTACTGAAGTTAGTTTACGATATGGGCAAAAAGGCTTTTTGCTCATTGAGTACAAATAGTCAGTATGTGTGCTACCCCCAAAGTGTGAAATGGTCAGATAACATCTGTTAGATAAAATCATGTCTATGTATCTGAGGTTACATGGCCATTAGGTGTACAAGTTTTAATACAATATTGATTCAAGGTTGAGAATTTAGCAAGTTTCAGCAAAGAAATTGCGTTACAAAATTATCCAGAATCAAAAATCATATTGACATTACGACCAGCAATTCAAGAATGGCTGAACCTCACAGATTTTATTAAAAATAAGTTAGTATTAACTATTTCTCTTGAGTTCACTCTAACAATGTCTGGACAAGATTAGTTAAATATTCTGTCACTCGTCCTTTGTAAAATCCGCGAGATTTCAGGGCATTCTCTTCTCACATTTCTTTTTAAATTACCCGGGACATTTTCAATGGGATTAAGCCTGGACTGTTGGACAGCCATCCAGTATTCCGGAATATTTTCTTGTAGGTACACTTGGACAATCCAACTAGTATCTCCCTCTCCCACACATTCCTTAACAAGTTTTGCATCTTTTTGCAGATATAAGTCTTTAACACTTTCTTAATGAGAAGGTAAACAGACATTGTATATTGTTATTCCTACACATTTACAGAAGGATAGGACAATACTGTCACTACGAATGGATTGTTGTTTTCAGTTCTCAATACTTACTATCATCTCTGATTTTGCACTAAATCAAATTTGGGTTGCGCCTTTTGAAGCATAATAATAATAATAATAATAACGTGCGCTCTTAATCGGATGTAAGACAATGTGCCTATTCTGGATTACGTATACAGACCAGAACATTTCTATGTAATCAATTGGATGATGTGATCATCATGCCAGCGTACGCGTCATGTAAACGGGATATAAACTCGCGACGTGATATAATACGTAGAGTGTCAATACAATGTCTCCCGAAAGTTCAAGCTCACTTGCAAATAATACAAGAAAGCGAAAAAACGAAAAGCCAAACTACAGAGCAGCACACGAAGAAGAAGAGTCTAAAACAGAAAAACGTAGAGAATAGTACGTATAAAATCTCAAACCCTAATACGCCACCAGACGTCTTGAGAATTCACGTCATTATTAAGGCTTTCAATCTTTATTAGAATTTCTTCATGGCTATTATACTCTTAAACCGAATGAAATAGAAGAAGACGAGAAATTCGAGTTAGTCGGAGAAGACCCTGTTGAACAGATGGATGAATGTGGGAGAGAGACTATCAGATGCCGCACTATCGATGATTTTGTTGCGTACGACTTGGCACGAAATAACAAAATCATCTGTATTGAAGAACACGACACGGGAGATACTGATATGAGAGTATCAGGGATAGTCAAACCTATCTGGGAAGGAGATGAAGAAGAAGAATATGATGATGATGACGACGAAAAAGAAAAAGACGACTATGACAGAGTTCAATTAAGTTTTATATTCTGCTATCAGATTGAATACACCGAAGATGAACAAAGGTAATGCTCATATTGGTACAAGAATAAGTATATAAGATTAAATTAGAGACAATAGGCGTGCGTGTTGTTTCATCCGTTTCTCTTTCTTTTGTAGTGAAGTATGGCTACGTACTCAGTTTGCATGGTATAAGCTTCTTAATCCAGCACCCGAATATATACAGTACTTTGATTCTTTATTCAAACGAGTCAAACTCACCAACAAGGTCATTCTCTCCATGGCGACTGATACATCAACCACGTACGATGAATTTATCTCCCACAAACTCAACAATAACTCTTCATCAGCAAGCGAAAGTAACTGTACAAGTCACTTCACCGCACAAGACATCAAAGATAATTTAGATTTTATAATCAGTGAGTGTACCGAATGGCTCAACCAACAGTGTATACCTGAATTGGCTGATTGTCCGTTATATAATACGCTAAGAAGGATGATGAAGTCAAACAAATCCAATAACACTATTCAGAATGAAGTAATGGAACGAAGAGCTAACTGTAATATAAAGTTCGGCACTGAGAAAACCAGTCAAATATGCGTTACGCCTTTTATCAAGAACTTAACCGGGGGTCTATTCGCACGTGATTCAATAACAGTTATACAATCAACGGCCCCCAATTCTGACGAGGAACAAATGATGTCAGTTGATGTAGGCCCTCTGGTAGTGGATGATCACAACACTCGCGACATACAATGGATGGGTACTCCGATAGCGCGTAATAAATTACGTGTTTATTATGATTCAGGCATAATCAATGGAGAATTATTCCATTCTGGAGATATCGTATATGTCAGGAACGATAGAACGAAGGAACCAGTGTTTGCTAAAATAATGTATATGTTCGAAGATAGTTCACGAAATAAACTATTCCATGCAAGATTTTTTATACATGGTAGGGATACCGTGCTTGAAGAACTTGCTGACACGAGAGAACTATTCTTATTGAATAGTTGCTCTGATAGACTGTTGGAACATATATTAAGCAAAGCCAAAGTCAAATGTCTCGATCAGAAGGAATCGGGATCGACACAATCCAATGATGCGATCTACTTTTATCGTTTTTGGTATGATGAAGAATATGCTGTATTTGAAGACGTAAAATCACACGAGAACAATGATTTTGTTTTTGTACATTGCGAAGATAATGAACGTTGTCGTTCATGTGAAAAAGGAATGGATGAAGAATTTAATAGCGTGCCAAGATGGATAGGAAATAACATTCAGGACGGCATCAAGTGCAAAAATCGAGAATATCACGTAAATGACTTTGTATTTTTAAATACAAGTAACACAGAAACACCATATGATATCGGGCAGATAGCAGAGGTGTTGTTGGACGTGGGGAATAAAGAGAATATTGCTAGATTAACGACGTCAAATTTGAAAGGAAAAACCGATAACAAACTGAAACCAGCATATGCTAAACTAGTTGTCAGACGCCTTGGCAGATATGACGATATTATCAAGCTTAAGCACAAGAACAGAGCCCAAACGGAACCAATACGAGAAGTACGAGATGCGCGCAAACTTTATTTCACTGATGAACTGCGTGTTGTTACCGTTGATAGTCTGGAGGGAGTATGTTGGATAGCGCATTACGATGACATTGATGATTTGGACGCCTATAAAGATGAGCCGGATACATTTTATGTATGCGCAAAGACAACTAAGATATTGGATGCTGAAAATATGGAAAGTATAGGAAAAGATAGCTTTCCCGTATGTAGCAAATGTCGCGAAAAGCGTGCAGAGCATATGCTGAAGTTTAAGAAATTTATAAAGCATACTCAGAAAACGAACAAGAAATTAAAAGCGATGGATATATTTTCAGGATGCGGCGGTATTACTATTGGAATGGATAAAACTGGAGTTGTGACTACGAAATGGGCCATTGAACTCTCTGCAAGCGCTGCTTTAACGTTCAAGTGAGTACTGAGTATCTAAAAATGTATATGACATATGCGAAGAAGTCTGCTAATTATTGTATCTAATTATTTGCATTTTAGGGAGAATAATCCGGATGCTATTACATATAACCAGTGCGCTAATCGTCTTTTGCAGCGTGCAATTGCCGAACATGATCGGAAAGAAATTCCAGAAGACTTGCTTGATTTATCAGGCAGCAAAATCCCGAGTATGCCAGCTCCGGGAGACGTCGATTTTATTTATTGTGGTCCACCATGGTAAATATAGGAATTTGCTTCGATAAATTCTGCTCAAAAGTTAATGAAGTTTTTTTCCTTCTTTTTCGTTAGCCAAGGATTTAGTGGAGTTAATAGATGGAAAAAAGCTGATGACATAAAGAACTCGCTTGTCGCAACCGCTCTATCGTATGTGGATTACTATCGTCCAGAATACTTCCTCCTTGAGAACGTTCGCGGAATGCTAGCGTTCCGTTTAGGGGGTGAGCAGGATGGCCGTACTAAAATAAAAGGGGGTATAAATATGGGCGTTGTAAAATTTATACTTCGTGCTCTAACTGCTATGGGCTATCAGACACGATTTGGCGTTCACCAAGCAGGACACTATGGAGTGCCTCAGAGCAGGCGACGTTTATTCTTTTGGGGTGTGAAGATCGGATCAAAGTTACCCGATTTTCCTCAGCCTATTACTTGTTTCTTATTCAATGGATCCGTAAATGTAAGCATGCCGAATGGAAAGAGTTTCAGTTATGTTAAGAGGACGGGTGGAAGAGCACCTCACGCAGCCATTACAGTTGGAGATGCTATTGATGATCTACCTGAATTCGAATACATTAATCCACATGAAATATATCCACCGACGGAAAAGGAGAAAAAGGAGAAACCAAGGTGGAAGAGGTTACATGTTAACACGATAGGATGGGTTGGTGATATGACTATGATATATAAATCGCCACCACTCTCAGAATTTCAGCGACAATGTCGGAAGGAGGCTAAGGAACTATGGAATCATGTAACTAGACCATTCAATAGTATTACTGTCGAAAGAGTCGTTCGTGTACCGCTCTTTCCTGGGGCTGATCACCATGGTATGTGCATAATAGCTTATGTACTGAGAGGAAACAATATATGTTAATTATATTTATATGTAGACTTACCTGAGAAGTTGAGACCGTGGTGCTTAAGTAATCCCAATTCGGCGGCTAGTAGACATGGTGGGTGGAAAGGTCTCTACGGTAGATTAGATTTCAACAAACATTTCTCAACTGCACTGACAGATGTCAACCCTATGGGCAAGACAGGCGTGAGTATAGTTTCCACGTATAACGTATGTCTTCGTATAAGTAATTACGAAATTGCTAACAACGGCATTTTCTCTTGTTATTTGCAAAAGACTGTGATTCATCCAAATCAGAGACGTATTCTCACGGTCCGAGAATGTGCTCGTGCTCAAGGTTTCCCAGATCATTTCATATTTCACAGTGACAGGAACAACATGAGAGATTGTTATCGTCAGATAGGCAACGCTGTTCCTCCACCTCTTGCGTATGCTCTGGCGATGGAATTGGTTTACGTATTGTTTGCAGACAAATAAAATACATTAAAATCAGATCGTCGCCATTAACGTTTAGTGGATACATTAACCGGACAACGAAACTAGTTACGACGATAAATTTGTAATAAACATGCAAATGGCAGTGTTCTAATAGTGGCAAAGTCAATATTAACAACAGTCGTTGGCAAGACGTTTCAGATCCAACCATGCGGTCTGTCATATCAAGGATTCCGAGTACCTTAATGAACAATACGCTTTAGATTTTGTGAACAATCTGGTAACTTTAGTAGTAGAAACATGAATACAGACGATAACAGTTTAAAGGTATGTCCTTGTAATTTGTTGATATCGAATATAGATATACGATATGTATTATTCAAAAATAATGATAAGACAATACCCAGACTCATGTCCTCTACTCGAATATCAATTATGCGCAATTTCTGGATCGATGCGCACATGTTTATCTCTCCATTTGTAATGTACTCAACTGCATATCCACACATATTGCTCTTCTCTACTAAATCACCAGACTCCCTGCTCTGTCGAATAAGTAAAATGCCAAAGGATTCGGCATTCCTAGGATTTTTGACACATCAATTAACAGACTATATAATGAACGGAATAGGAAAAATGAAAATGTCGCACAATATTATACATGAAGCTAAGAATTGACAGGTGTAGTATTGATTTATTGATAAGATTGAATGAATATGGGCTCTTTACAAATTAGAGAATCTCTGCATAGTTCCTTCTAAAGAATTGCGTTCAAAAGTTCATATAAATTCTTGCCACTTTACAAGTCGAACGATGATTTTAAATCTATTTTATAACAAATTACAAAAATAAATTAAAAAAAAAAAAAAAAAGGCAAAACAAAACAAATTACCGAAAGTTCAAACAATTCTTTGTTTTAAATTTCGCTTTTCTGGCTACTAGTTCCATATCCCATTGACTGTTAGTAATTTGAAATTAACCTAATTTTCGTCTTGTCTATCTCTGTCCTCAACATCTGCATTTTCATCAATATTGTTCCTATCATGACTTCCACTGCTGCTCTCCTCAATATTGTCATGGTATTGTTCAGTATATATATTCTCGTGTTCGTCTCCAATCTCCTTTTCACCAAATTCGTCACCATCATCTTCTAAATCGCTGTCACCAAATGCTTCAAACAGTTCCCGAGACGTCATAAAATATTTGTCCCCTGATCGCAAGGGTACTGACGCATCGTCGTTATTTGATAGGTTAGGTGGCGCGAGTACGGAAAATTCATATGTATCGCGGGAAAAGAATTTATTGTGCACAGATCGAGCCGGAAATATGTCTTTCTTAAAGTAGACCACAGCTCCAATAGCAACAACAATAACGACTGCTGCAAGAGTGCCGAAAACAGCATATATAGTGGAGGGAGTAGATGCTAACGGTGACGAAGGCGACGATGCGGAACCTGTTTCTAAAACAGCGTCGGTTTTGCTTGTTGTGCCATCTACCCAAGTTGGATATATAGGGACTGATGAATCGGATGTTATAGTTGAAGATGTTGTTGTCTCCGATACTTGTGTTGATGATGTTTGTTCGGTAGAAGCTGTGCTTGACATGTCATTTGATGTCGTTGATTGTTGGTCATTCGCGTAGGAAGGCTTGGTTTGGAATGGTGTTGGCGGAGCTATCTCGACATCTTCAGCCTTTATTTGTTCGCCATGGAATGTTATACGCCAATCAATAAAAACGCCCCAGAATTCGGGTTCCTTAGTGTCGCGAACTTGGAGAGTCCATTCACCAATTGGATTTTCATCCCTTTAACGAGCATAGGTAATACAATACACGAAGATGAATAGAGTAGTTAGAACAGCAAGAAAACAAATACATTATTATGTAGCGTAATCAAAGGCAGATTATACTCTTACGGCAACTTACCAGTGTTTTACGCTCATAAAAGTCCAGTTAGACAATCCATTCTGATGAGCATCATACTTCCTCGCTTGTCCCAAATTGGAAACAATTTTGTTCGGACTGGTCAAATCCACTAGAATGTTTCCTCTCTTCTGATGTTCAATATTTACAGTGACGGTCACATGTTCCAGCCTTCCTAGCGTAACAGTATCCAAAATCTCCTGCGTAATTTTTATACTGCTCGATATGCCGACATCATCATGAGGAATTTTTTTATTAACCGTAATAGTAGGCATCGTAAGGTTAGCTTGCGGGTTAAGGTTTTTAAACGTCTTTGCTTTTTGTATTATTGCATACGCATCCAGTTTGCCGTAGCCGAATTTATAACTGTATGGACGACCAGCTGCCGTTATCGACCAGTCAGCGTCTTCCTTATTGAAGGGAATGGCAGAAGTGAGGCTTAGGTATTGCATGTCTCGCCATGTAAGATCAGGGCGAATGGAAAGAACGAGAGAGAAGACTCCTGCGGCTATGGGAGCAGCCGCTGATGTGCCTCCATGTCTCCCTGTACATTCACGTTTTCCTACATCCGTTGTAAACTGGAATACAAACAAAGAGATTGTGAGCATCATGTTACGAATAAAAGGTTTGCAGTCGTGTACACGTCTGTTAGTCAAGGCTTACAATAAAACTTCCGCTTCCACTGCTATAAGTAGTAACAAGCATAGCAGAACATTGTTCCGAGTAGAAAGGATGCAATCCCATTCTGTCTACAGAACCAACAGTAATCGTATAAATACTATTCGTGTATCCATCATAGTTACAATTATCCTCGCTTCCGGCTCCATTTCCGGAAGCAAACACGAAGATGCTTCCTTTGCCCTTTCTTCCATTGTTAATGCCATTGATAAGGGCTTTCAGAATGAGTCCTTCAGGCGCTTCCGCTGATCTACCATCGTCAGAAGGACCCCAGCTACATGAATAGATGTGATTTTTATGGAATTCATAATTGAGAGCGGCAGCTTCATCAACATCGGAAATTTCTTTGGATAGGATGCGGATGCCTATTAAATAAATTAGAACAATCACGCAACATTAAATAAAGGAACGAGACTACTTTTTAAGGATTAAAATTATAATTATAATGCAAATAGAGAATTGAAAGTCATGACGTGGATAGTAGTAACAACACTACGATAATATCAATCTTCATTATGTAACATTTAAGCCCTACCGGATACTTTCGCATCGAAAGCAACGCCAACACCACAGACGTCATTCCTTACGGCAGCAATTTCTCCAGCACATCGAGTTCCATGTGTATCCTCACTCAACTTTGGTGAAGGAACCGGGTTATTGTCATTAAAATCCCATGAGCCTTCCGCAAACTAGAAGCAAGAAAAGAGTTTAATTAGAGATCGAGATAAACGGATGTGAATAAAAAGATCAAAATTCCTGTAGTTGATAATACATAATTGGGTGCCAAGTCTTCGCTGTTCATGTCGAGACCATCATCAACGAGAGCTACTACGACATCTTTCCCCGTGATTCCTGTATAGTTGAGAAACAAAAAGCATATCAGGGTGATAATCGGATAGTCGATAATGAGAATTCGGATTAAAGCAAACTTTCATAATTTACCCTCCTTCCACACGTCCGTCAGATTCAGATCATTGTGTTCAATCGGATTATGCTTTCATTAAAAACACATTCGGGTTCAGTATGCAACGTCATATTATTGAACTTTGCTGTATTCTATACGTACCAAATGCCATTGCTGGTTAAATCCAGGATCCTCTATTCCTAACAAAGAAAATTCCGTCTTTTCGTCTTCATTCGGCTTGGAAACGGGGGGCGGTATGGGCCATCGTTTATGTCGCTTTCGCAACACTTGTTTATCAATAGCTATTATGCTGTCAATTGCAGACTGATCTCGCTTACTTAGACCGTTTAATGCATATGATCGTTTTTGCTTTAGCGTGTTGAACTTGTCGAGTACGCGATCATACTCAACCGAGCGTCTTGAGGGAAATTCGTTTACTTGTTTAAATGAGCTAAATAGATGGTGGTTGATCAACTCCCCTATTTGCCCTTCCCATTCAATGTCCAGCAATGAAGCTATTTCCTGTGGAGTGACAAACGAGTCATCTAACACTTCTATTGCGTAATAATATTTGTTGTTGTAATCTCTTTTAGTTGGTTGCGCCGATTGACTAGTGACGAGTAGTAATACAAGCAGGACCAATATATACGACAACAGTCTTCTCTCTATTAGTGACATTTTTTTTTGATTCTATGGGTGCATAAATGATAGGTTTGATTATAAGATACAATCAAGTTTGCATTCGGACACTAAAATATAAAACGACTTTTCGATCCGCTTGGAAGTTACACAAATGCCAAATTTTGGTGAAAATCAATTACTATGAGCAAAAGTGGGGTTGCAAGATTTAGTATACTAAAAAAGATTATAATAATAATGACCCCACGCTGACAGGAAAGAAATGACTATATGAAGGGTTTCCCCACCTCCTATACATTCAGTAGTAATTAGTGTCCTTATAAAGAAGGTTTTAAATGAAGGAGGTTAAAGTAAGTAATACATTCTTATTACTGACATCTGGTCATTTCCCAGCAGTTTTGGATGGGCAAGTTAAACAAGCAGTTAAGAATCGGTGGGTTTCGCATTCGAGTCGCAATTGATAATGTTGTCCCTTAATACCACGTTTATTTTATTTCTGCGCTTCTAGTCCTCATTAATCTCGTTACATACACGCATAATACTGTGAGCAATATTCTTTTAAAAATTAATTTCATTAACAACAAACTAGCCGATAACGTTTAACTAATAGCAGTCAAGTCTGCATTGGAACTAGCCAAGCTATGCTCGCTCAATTATACTTCTGGTCAGAAGAAACATAGGCTGATAGTTTATCTTTCGCCGCCTTTGCGTACGAAATCAGCTTTGTCATAATAAGAAAGTTTACATTTAGCGTAATTAAGATTATCTTGCAACAGAGCTTTACATTATATACGGACACGATTGGTTTGAGTAAATCGAGTTACAGCTCTGCCAAAATTGAGAAATTTAGTTCTATAGTTGAAATTCAATGTGTGTTGCGAATTCTATATATTGGTTTGCTTTGAATAGTTCTAGAACGAGGGCCTAAGGCAAGAATTTTGCTTAATCAGCTTCAAATATAAAGTCATTGGAGGAGAAATAAATCGAGACGCAGAGCGTCTGTATAAAATTTGCTCAGCAGCGTTTACAGTTCCAATATCATTTACCCAAACGATTTATCAATCTATGATTATCAGCGCACTTCGATGATGATAACGAAATAATTACCAACTCTTTGTGAATATTGTCAAGTTTATGTAAATGTCAGTCCGTTGGTAATTTCCAACCCAACTTGCATTTGTGTTCCCAAGTTAAATCTTCAAAGTATTCGTTCAGATGTTCGCGTAAATAAAAATCATGTGACATTTATTATATTTGTCTGTATATATATGGGAGGTAAATAAGAATGATTACTTTGAAGTTCAATCAGATTAACCCGAGTGTAACTTTATATAAATCCAAAAAACAATATGTTTATGTTGGGATGATCGTTTGCTTCCTTGTGATATTTTAGCTACTTGAATGATATTCATTTGAAAAAGTCTATCAATGCACAAATATGAATTTGACGGGACAGGCATATACATAATAGAGTATAAGTAGCAACCTCTTTGACAAACTGGCGGTGCGAAAAAATTATATAAGCTGTTATTGGAATAAACGACAAATGACACTACTTTCCATCACAAGATAAAATGACTCTATATTTTCAAGATATCCTGTCTTCCCTCATTATTACAAACGGGAAGGTTAGGCTTTTTCTCATAACAATAATCTTTTAATTTTTGTACACTAATTTATGTTCCACTTATCTTTCTTATAAACTCATTCTCAAACATAATTAATCTTTGGGCTGCTAGAGAACCAAGCCGGTTAATCGTGCAACACTATTTAGACAATGTAACGAAAAAAAGGCGGTGAAAAATCTGAACAAGCATGATGTGAGAAAAGCCTCGAAGGGTATTTTATTAACTGTAAAAATTTCAGTACAGAATTATTATTATTTTTTTTTTTTCAATAATTAATCATATACTAATACATTTTTCATGGACTGCAAAAATTACTGTTTTGATAAAAATTGCTCAATTAAAAAATGCGTTAAATCTTCGACATCTGTCTTTCGACTTTGTCCTAACTATTTGCTACAAATTTTGTTATGTTGAAAACCATGTGCTAGTCAATCAATTGCTTTAATATTACGTCATTATCCTGTTGTTAATGCAGTTATCAACACGCATGTTGTGCCTCAGCAGTTAAAGCTGGGTTGGTAGAATGTTGTTAACATAAAGCAATCCATTTATTATTTGGTAAAGCAAAGTAAGGGTCTTATTATTATTAGCAAAAATCGCTTTTTTCGTTACACAGCGTATTATGAATTATATTATGTAGACCCAATATGGAAGTAGGGCGGTATAGTATAATATCTGCAAAACAATTATATGCGAGAATTAGCGCCTTCGAACCTTCTTTTTAATAGCTTAATCTCCATTACGATCTACCAATGGCTATAAAGAAGGATTTTGTAACGCTGGGAATAGATTTTTTTAAAGCATGAATCACTCAATACTTGGTTCGGGGGTATGTACACATCGAAAAACTTGTTTTGCACCGGAAAATACAGTCGAACTTCGTTTTTTGAATTGTAAAATTGCGTTATACCGTTACCAAAGTTGGATACTAATACAATTTTTAGGTCAAGTTTTATCACGGGATATATTTGCGGAATAGTGATTGGCTGTGCAATGAGGTCATACTATAATACTACCAAGGGTGGATGTTTTATTATACTAACTAGCAAACTTGAGAATTATTTATTAGGAAAAATTTTTTTACTGGATAGTTGGTTACAGAACGCATGTTGTTATTTTATTTATTAAAGTAATAATGATTAATTAATATTAACAGAGACAAAGTTTATTTAGACTTTTTGTTTTGATATAAAATTACTTAATTACATTTTGTACTGGCTTGGGACAAGTAATAATAATATCTTTGAATTCATCTCTGACAAATGGGAGGAGGAATCAGTACTAGAATGGGAAAAAAAATTTAATCTCTGATAATTTCAAATATGGTTGCTTTTCTGGTTTTCAATAAATTAATTCAGTATACGAACCATTAGCAACCAGCAGAGCTTTGACAACTCCAGGTTGTTCAAAGATATTTTTGCAAACGGCTCAATTTCTTAAAAATATTTTCAACACAGAATTAAGATCTAAGTATTAAAAGCCTTTGCTGTTTTCATAATACTGGGCTTTGTTTAATCCCGATGTACTTAATTCTTCACAGACTCACAATATGATCTACGCAATCTACCGTCATATTAGTCAGTCCGAAACTACCATCACACTTGAATTTAGTATGTCCAGGTATCATAAAATTTAATTCGATACTTTCATAATACACAGTGAAATTTACTTTAACGAAGTCTCCGTTCCGCAAAATTTCTTCGATAATCTGAAAGATTCGAAAGTAAGTGATATATTACTATTACGTGATTTTAATCAATACGAATATCCAATAAAAATTGTTGATTTTATTATGGCGATCAAATTTATTTCAAGATTGAATATAATCATGAATAATGTCTTCTTTTCTGCATAATACTTTTATGTAACTTGCTTACAGTTTGCAATTGCTGTCTTTTTTCTGACACAGCTCCTTTTTGGGGGCAAGCGCAAGCGCTGTTCGTTGTTTTTTTGACATGGATGTTTTCTTAAAAGAAATAATATAACAAACAAGAGAAATGCTTTTACAGTCTTAGACACCGCTTTAGATCTTTATACCATGCTCATCGTGCCATTAAGGCCGTTACCGATAATTTTGCCTTCGTCGAGAACGTGATCAATTTGTTCGCGTACTGCTTTATCATGGCAATATACTCTACGCGGTAAATCTTACTTACCTGTTAATTGGAATGGGACACGTGAACATTTTGCGTTAACTCGATAAGCAGTCGCGTCAACGCTGCATTAATTAGTTTTACCTCCTTTACAACGTAATTATTATTTACCAATTTCTTTGTTGTTCTGTTAGTTTTGTATTTTTGTTGTGATAATTTCTCTTAATTTAGCCTTAACTAAAAGTTTTTAAAATTTTTTTAGTAAACTTTTCACTTTTTTTTTGCAAGAATAATTTGTGTTATGAGAAGGCATACTCATGAGATGCGCAAGAAACTAAGCTAATTCATTTTTGTTTTGTGAAATTAAGATACATTGGCTGTGCCGGCTCCGCTGATCGCCTTTACAAACTACTGATATAAAACGTGCATTTGCTAAGGTTAAACTCGCAGGTTTGTCCTTAATAAAATTTCCATTGCGCGATATAACAATCAAACAACTAATCGAATAATTAATTTATTCACTGCGAAATGCCACTCATACATCTGATATTTTTTTATTCATTATTTTCATCGCTGTAATCGCGATCCGCAAACCGGGAGTTCTTAACAGTGGAGATGCTTTATAAAATAGCTGGGAAGAACATAACAATGTATAATATCCTCGCAATTTTGCTACTTTTAATTCGAAAAAATGCGTACGCATCTCCTACTCCACCCCAATTCCTGCTACGCAGATTAAAATATAAAAAAAACCTTAAAATAGCTATTTAACCCTCAACAATGAAATTTTAAAATGCGCGCTGAGGCAGAATGGGAAGATAAAGCCCGAAGCGGAGGTTTGTAAATGACTGTAAATTTAATCACACGTAACTTAGATTTTATTTAACCACAATTCTTAGCACTAACATACTTGTTTCGTTATTTGAATTCCACATTATTATTTACTCTGCAAAAATTTTTTATTCGTAATAACGTAATATACGTAGGGTGTCTGACAATATATTTTTATCTCAATACAATTTGATTTTAATTTGTACCCTAAAACATATGGAAAATTTCCATCAATGTTGCTACATCTTTGCTAGCTGGGAAAATGGCCGATTTGCAAAAAAAAATTATCAAAGTTGAGGGTTGACAAGGGACTCAATGCACTGTCTGAACATACAATTTACAGATGGATTGGATGAGAGGATTAAAAATGGCTCCCACTCAGAAGTCCTCTCGCCAAGCTTTACCCTCAGAAATTTTGCAAATTGGTGAAGAACTACTAAATGAGAATTTACATAAAACAGAGGAGGACCTTTAAAAAACAGTTAAACGTATTTTACATAGTCAACTTGATCTCAGTAAAGTATGTTCAAGTATGTCATGTGATTCTTCATTACGACAGCGCATCACTACTGTAGTTAGTAGTAAAGAAGAAGCCTAATTCATGCCACATCTTCCTTTCAGTTTATATTTGGCTTCCTGTGACATTTTCTGTTTTCCATAATAGGAGTTTCGGAATGTTGAAGAACTACCGGATTTTTATCAATGCCATTGCGAATCCATCCATTTAATTGTACCAATGTTTCGCAAAAAAATAAGACCATCACATCATGACAGACACAATCAGATTCTGAGTGCATTTCGTGCTAAGACTTCCTTGGCATCATCGGTGTGCGATTGCTTCCGTTCTAATTTCGTAACTCTAGCTTTAAGCTCAGCATTTTCAACAGCAGTATTTTTATCATTCTGTTCCAGTTTCATAAATCTGGATTCATGCTCTTCTAAAGATTGTTTTAATTTTATGTTCTCAGCCTCAAGTTTGATGTTCTCAGTTATAACATTATCATTATCCTTCCTAAGTTCTCTCAATGATTCCATTTTTTATGTATTTAATTGATACAAAAAATAATCATGATTGATATTTTACACGCGAAAAATCTTTATTTAACCAACAATCAAGATGAGACAATTGATAATGCGTTATTCTATAGGACTGATTTGATCACTGATGGCGGGATGGTTCGATTTCGGTGATGGAGAAGAACGGGTCTATTTCGGGATGTACTACCGACATCGTGTAAGCATGTGATTTAATTTTCCAGCATGTCTATACTATTACTATGTTCGATAAATATAGTCTGAAAAATTTTATCAAAGAAAATTTATCACACAAAATTACATGATAATTCAGCCACCTTTATTGATATATCAAAAATACGTAGAATAAATAAATATAGTATAGATAATAATAATGAGAATCTAATCGCCATATGGCGGTGATGATACTATTGCCAAACAGGCAAATTTTTGATAATCATTTTTCTGGTTGTTGACCTGCCGTATTGAAAATTTTACACCCAAGTATTTTACTACAGCAAGCAACTTAAAGCAAAGTTGAAGAAAATAACCTTAACTTGAGGTTAGTGAACAGACTATACGCCGTGAGCTCAATAGTCTCCTGTTATTCCACGGAAAGTTTTGTTTTTTTTTTTGATTGGGCACGTAAACATGCACGATAAAATTGGCGAAAAGTGCTTTTTCCGATGCAACGACTATTTAAATGTTGATTCAATTTCATTTACGCATGGGCCCTGCAACGCAAAACATGTCGTCCCTGTGGTGAAGCATCGACGTTTGGATAACGATCTGCGCCAAGGAAGAAATTTATTGACTGAAACCTGAGCCGTTATTTACATTATAAATAAACATTAATATAATAATGCAGATGTGTTGCATTGTTGTAACTGGTCTTTCAACAGGACAATGACCTGAAACGCACTTTGCGCAATGATTGAAATGATCTGGAAAACCGCCTTCCCTGACGAGTTTTTCCTTGGCCTTCGTACAGCCCCGATAGGAACCATACCGAAAATGTATGACCATTTTGAAGAAAAACGTTGAGAGGATGACTAAGTATATGGTAATGAAAAATAAAAGGTTTTGCAAAAAGAATTTTTTTATATAGTTGGACAAGAATGACTAATCTTGATAATAATGTATTACCGATGCACTCATAGCATGCGAAACCGGATTAAAGCATGTATTGACGCTGAATGAGGTCAAACAAGTTATTGATTTAATAATAAAATATGTAGCATTGGTGTTTAATATAAGTTATGTGGTAATATAAAAAAAAACGTCCGCCATTTTTTTGTCGGAGACTGTATGTATGTAATGTGATATGGCGGCAAAAGGTTGTTTGTTGCGCATTTACCGTGTTTAAGGAGGAGAGGTTGTTGTGAAGCGACGTATGTACAGTTTTTTTCTAATTGGGGAAAGACTATTTTATGTGTAAGGGAATAGAACCCCTCCCGGCTAAGTCGATATTACTATTAGCAGCTCAAAAATATCCGAGTACGTTAGCCAGTAACGATAAATGCGTCGTTGGTGAGTGTTAAAAGTTCGTTGTTTGATAACTTGTTTGCGTCGTACATGCGTGAAGGTAAGAATCATTCATTGTATATTTAGCTTTTATAGAATAATACTGTATTTGTACTTTGAAGAAGGAGAGGTGTTGTGAAGCAATGCATGCGCAATGGAGAGAAGCGTCTGAATAATACGTATGTGTATGAAAAGACGCGTGTTTGCATATTGAATGACAAAAAGCGGACACATTTTTGTATTATTTGATAACAAAGTATACGACTGTCATCATTGTTTCCGTAAATATAAATATGGTCCCGTGTAACATTCTGGAGTGAATGCAATAATTTCTCAGTTAACTGTTATTATTTAATACTTATGATATTTCGATAATTCAGTTCGGATGGCTGTTGCAGACATCTGTATAAATTAATTATTGTAAAAGACAGCTTTAATTCAGTCTTTGACGTTCCCATGTACGCACTTATTTCGGACCCTATTCAATTTTTTTCGAACGCTTGATAAATATGGATCATTGCGAAAGCGATACCGCTAAAATATGTTCTAATTTCTATATATCTGGCTGCTGCAAAACAAAAGATCATATTACCGTAAGCTAGTCAAAAGATTATTTAGTCAAGTTTTCATGTTATTGAAAAAAAAAAGTAGTAAGTCTACAACAAAATATGAAGTTGGGGAAATTAAAATAGGTAGGACTGAGTGGCAATGATCTGCAGAAATTATTATAAAAATTTTCTTTCTTTGTTGTGGACAAGCGTACACTTAAATTATTTTCGTTATGGTATGTCAGTTACATAGGTTTTTGAGTAGACCGCGGTTCACATCACTAACTTGACCTTTATTTACTTCATTTCAAAAATTCACCATTTTAGAGGCCTATCTTATTACAAGGGCACACTCGTTCGCTCACGCAAATTAAATACAACCGCGAAGGCGATCTTCTCTTTTCAGCAGCAAAAGATCATGTTGTCAACGTATGGTTTTCGCATAACGGTGAACGATTGGGAACTTATAACGGTCATGTCGGGGCTGTTTGGACAGTTGATGTGAACTGTATCCTTTTATGGCGTTTGGATACAAATATCGCGTATTATTCTTTCCCATGGGTGACTTGCACTTACTTTTCATTCTACCTCACAACATACGTCTCGTATTTACCAATACTTTCAGACTATTACTTCTTTAACTCCCGTTTTTGATTTGATCTAACCCACTTGCATAGCCGCAAGTAAACTACTATTGTCAGGCTCGGCAGACAACACAGCAAAACTCTGGGATGTGCGAACAGGCAAATGTTTGCATACCTGGGAGTTTCACACTGCTGTGAAAAGAGTCGCGTTCTCTGAGGATGATACAATGGCGTTGGCCGTTACTGAACAGCAAATGGGATACCAGGGAGCCGTGGCTATTTTGAAAATAGACTCTGTGCTTGAGGCAGGGGGTATGTTTGTTTGGACATGAATTTGGTGTCAAATTTGAACACAGACGCTGATTATGATTTTGTTCTTTGTATATTTGTAGAGCAGGATGAGCCTTTTGTAATTAGTCCTGAACCGACGAAGGCTATGGTTGCTGCTTGGGGATATCTTAACAAATATATTATTATTGGTCATAAGGATGGAATGATTTCTCAATATGATTGGAAGGTATGTGAATGAATAATGTATGATTTTGACTCATATACACGGCATTATATCTAATGCGGTTTCTAATTATGTGCGGCTGTTCGCGTCGAATCGGACGTCCTTTTTACACCGGGATTTTCTCATATAATAAACCAGACTGGCGAAAAGCTAACATCTAAGCATCCCCATTCCGATGTGATCACTGATCTTCAAATGTCCCCAGATCGTACTTATTTCGCAACATCCTCCAAGGATAAGTCGGCTCAACTGTTTGAATCCAACACTCTCAATCCTCTCAAGAAATACGTAACGGACTGTCCGTTGAACTCTGCATCCATCACTCCAATCCAGGATTTTATAATCGTTGGGGGTGGTCAAGATGCCATGCAAGTGACTACTACTTCGATGAGACAAGGGAAGTTTGAGTGTAGGTTCTGGCACAAAATATTGGAGGAGGAGGTAGGAAGAGTCAAAGGCCACTTTGGACCTATAAATACGATTGCGGTACACCCAGACGGTAAAAGCTTTTCCTCGGGTGGAGAAGATGGATATATCAGAGTACATCATTTTGATGAAGATTATTTCAAGTTTACATACCCTGAGTTTCAGCATATTGGTGCTTGAGAGAAGAAATGTGTGATAGAGGCGAGTAATTTGTGGGTGAGCACGTTCCGAGTTCTATTGATAGAACATTATATAGGGGTCTTATAGAAAAATTATTATAAAAAGTATTGAATGTCTTAATATGTAATAAATATTCAATCTTTGACTACACTTTTTACTGTAACCTCTAATACCGGATGTACCGCAGCATTTGAGGCGTGAAACATGATGAATTATGTTTTGAATGAAACTATCAGTGTCTCCAGATTTGATACAAATTGACCTCTTTCTAAATAATCATACGCATTTCGTTGTCCTCTGATCTTTTTTTTTTGTGTGAGTGCACGCGTTTATTTCAACAGACGCGTTGATTAGATGCCGTTTATTGGTGAAACTCGTATAATTTTATTTACGTCTTATATCGCTCCTTGGGTATGGATTGTTCAAATGGGTTGTGGCTTAACAAATTAACCCCTGAAATTTGGTTCGCGCGCATATCTATTACTATCCCATCTCTTCTCTGCCCATTCTATTGCGGATTCTTTCTTACTTCCCACCTTAACTTATGTATGAAGGATCTCCACCTAATGCAGCTCAACGATTACAATTACTCGTTGAACACTTATCCCCTCATTCCTCTTCTTCCACTTCCGAACGGCGCACTCTCTCTCCGAGCGAAACGCTCATAGTCCGCACTAACTCTGAGATAAAATGGAATGGTCATGGTTATCGTGATACTTACTTTGAATTTGATGACAAAGGCACGGCTTCCCTAACTGGATTTCGCTACTCGAAATATAGCTCGAAAGAGTTTCATGATCTGCGACCTTGGTTAGAGCAGACGCTCCGTATCAACTTAAAGACAACGTTACCCTCGCAACCGACTATGCCGAGTATTCATAGTCCAGTGGTAAATCACGAATTCTATGACATGATTAAACCTTACGGAATTCAAATCTCCTTCTCTGAACAGGATCGCCTGTGTCACGGACACGGTCGCAGTACCTCAGACATTTACCGACTCCGTTATTCGAATATTGTCCCCCTTCCCGATGCTGTAATCTGGCCCGAATCTCACGAACAAGTTGAAACTATCGTTTGTGCTTCTCAGAATTACAACGTTGGGTTGATTCCATATGGTGGTGGATCAAATGATGTTAATGCCTTAGAATGTCCTATTGAAGATGATCGTAGGATGATTGTAGTGCTCGATATGAGACAGATGAACAGGATGTTAGGATTGAGCAAGGAGAATATGTTTGTTACAGTCGAGGCGGGTGCTGTTGCAAAAGATCTAGAAAAGGAGTTGAGGAAAGACGGATTTACTCTTGGTTGGGAAGCTGAAAGTGTAAGTGCATGGAAAACATCTTCTAAAGGAATGATGGAATGATTTCTCAATGGAATTTTTTTTCGTTGCAGGTTGAATTTAGTACTCTTGGAAGCCTAGCGGCAAGACGTTCTTCTGGAATTAAGAAGAAGTTTTATGATTTTACTAAAAGTATAATAGAGATCCAGATAGTCACACCTGCAGGTAGGTGATAATTTTTATAGATCGCCAATTTGATCAGGAAAAAAAAAGTTACTTTCTTCATATTAAACACCAAGGCACAGTCCAGCATGCATTTACTACTCCGCCACCTCCAACTACTGCTGGTCCATCTTTATTACACATATTTCTCGGCTCAGAAGGCACGCTGGGTGTGATAACTTCTCTCACGCTCAAGATTTATCGTCTCACTCCTCACCGTCGTGTCATTTCTCTCTATTTCCCCACATTCCAGACTGGTCTTTTTTTTCTGAGAGAAATTACTCAAAAGAACATTGTAAAACTCGTGGGTGCGCGAATGGTGGATGAGGTGGGATTGGATTTAGTTCAAGCATTCAATACCCAATCGCCTAATCTCACTAGCATCTTCAAAGAAGTAATAAAGAGGTATTATTGGAAGAAGGTAAAAAATTTAGTGAGAGGGAAAATGTGTTTGGCTGCTATTATCGTTGAAAGTGAAGATGTGGGAAAACTTCAAGTCTATGAACAGAGAGTGATTGGTGTGGCAGAGAAATTTGGTGGAGTTGATGGTGGTTGGGAGATTGGCGATCGTGTGTTCAGTATGTCTCAGGTAAGGAAGGTTATTGTTTGTGACACAGTAGGCACACCATACTCAATGTTTATTTCTTGTAGACATTGCCATACCTGCGCGACTTTCTTATGGATTATTATGTGATTTCTGACTCTCTTGATACTACTATATCGTGGTCTCACGTTCAAGAACTTTCTGAGAATGTAAAGAACACAATAAAGGCAACTTGCAGAGCTCAGAGTGCGAAGGCCAGCCCATGGGTAGCTGTCAGAGTGGACACAGTGTACGTGAATCCGTGATTGATTCGCATAGAAATAGGAACTCTTTCTTGGTCTGATATGGTACGACTGGTAATCCTTATCAACCCACGAGTCATGTGCGGAGACAATGGATGTACTTGTTCGTCTTGTTCAGTTTTTGAAGAAAAGAAAACTGTTGGTTTAATCAAATTATTGGCAAGCCTAAATTTCTTCATCCGCACAATATAATAGACTTACTCGTAATGATTATATTTGTTTCAATTTCTATCAAATCAGTTATGACACAGGTGTAAGTCTGACATTTATGTATGGATTCAATTTCTGGAATTTGCCTGACCCACTTGGTGCTTTACTACGCGTTGAGCAAGCAGCTATGGTTGAGATATTAAAGTTACGTGGATCAGTCTCTCATCATACAACAGGCATTGGAAAGAGGAAGAAGGAGATGTTTATCGAGTCGTCATCGGAGGTACATTAAGAGGACGAAATGATTTTGATGTGTTTGATGTTTATTCTAAATATCATTTTTCTATTTAGACTTCTTTGGCTGTACTTAAGAGTATCAAAAAGTAAGTTATCAATCACTCAATCATCAAGATGCACACAAATTGCATGCACACCCCTCCATTTTCACTCATCCCTACTACTACTTGTAATTATTAGAACTCTCGATCCTTCAAATGTCTTTTGTGTTCAGAATTTAATATGATAGACTGTATTGTAGCTTGGATATAGATATGTATTTGTAGTCTTTTATGCCATGAGCTAGATCAAGTGAACTTTTGTATAGCAAGATAATATACCTTTTATTTTCGCCCGGCGGTAAGAACTTGTAGAATATCATTCACTCATATAATAGAAATTCGCTGCAATATCAGAAAACAGACACGGCGAGTCACACTTACCGCTGTACTGTAAAGTTTAGTTAATAAAGGCAGTCATTAAATGACATAAGGTATTATTTATATGTAGGGAATGTTATTTACTTTATTTATTTACTAGTTTGTTTGTTCAATGTAATTAAATGACTTCTGCTATAATAGTAATGAGATAGTAAAATGTAATCTAATTCATTTTCATTAATGTAATATCAGATATACGAAAAAAATGGTGAAACAAATAGACTGAAAAACGAAGCCAAAACAGAATAAACAAAAAGAATTTTGAATTTACTTAAATTGATAAACATACTAATACTTGTTCTTATGTATTAACAATCAAATAAAATTTGCAAAGCGTCATGTTTCAAGACAGTCAAAAACTTAAACGAATAATTATTGTTTTATACGACTAAATTTCGAGTTGTAAGATTTATACATTTCGTTCTCCAACCATTTTTTAATAATTTTGGCAGATTAATTTTTTGAGGGTAATTTTAAGAATTTTTTTTATAGGTTTCTGAAGCTTTAAAGGTGGATCCAAAGTCATTTCATCTGATTTACCATAATCATTAGTATCTTCAAAATAAATGTTTATCTTGCATTGTTGAGACGTATTAATACTTGCTCTAGTTGCGTATGGTGTGTGTGAGGATCAAGAGCCTAAGATGACGTATTCCTCTCTGAATTTGCTGCGGAACGATAGGTGTCACCAACAACGGTA